ATATATATATATATATATATATATATATATATATATATATATATATATATATATATATATAAGTTTAAAAAAAAAACTACGACGTCGCGCCTCTTCTCCCCACACGAGGCGATGTCGCCCCAAAACGAGGCGCCTTTATATATATTTATAGATATATACATATATATATATACATAAGTAAAAAAAAAACTGCGACGTCATCTCCCTTCTCCCCACCGAGGGCGACATCGCAGAAAAATGAATGGCCTTTATATATATATTTATAATACCGCCCGGTAACGGGCGATCCGTGTACCGGTTTACTAGCGGACCGGTATGTACAGCCCGATATGGACGATATTATTCAAAACTGAAGACCTTGCTAAAAACATAAAAATACAAGAAAAAACGAGACCAAAATCCAAACTATTTGGTAATGGTCATAGGGATCCTTTCCCACAAACAAGTTAACTAGTGAAATCAAGGTTTGTCATATTGAGCTATACTGCCCAGTGTAAGCGGTATATACCGGTCTGATAGGGGACCGATATTCGGACCGCCCTATACCGGGCAGTAGCATTACATAACCCCGTATCGAGTGATATGGGGTATGTATCAGTCGGTAATGGTCGAAATTCGATTGTTACTGACCTTTACTGGTCGGTAACAATCGAACTTCGACCGTTACCGATCAAAGGCAAAGATTGCCCTATTTCAAACAGTCAAATTGACCGTTTGAACCATAGGAAAGTGTTTTTAAATGCTTTCCTCTCTCTTCTTTCAACTCATTTCACTTTCTCAATCTCTTCAACTCTCGCAAACTCCTTCTCACTTACATCTCTCTGTTATTCTCACATTTCACTCTCCTAAACTCAACAAAGCTGCGATTTGTGGATTGGATCAAATTTGGGAGGATTAAGAGGAAGAGCACTCTAAACAGGAGATAGGTATTCTCTTTTTATATTTTTATGAATTTATGAGATGATTAAGCCTATTTTATGTGGTTAATGACTTAATGTCTAGTATGTTGTTTGATATATTTTTGGTGGTGGAATAGTATTAATCAGGGAGTAATTAAGGTCTTTAATATTGTGATTGGTAGGTTCAATGCTGATTTTTTCGAAATTAGCCACTTAATGGGTCAAATCTTTGTATTTTCATGCATATTAAGGTGATTTATATGTTTGTGATGGTATAATAAGTTTAATTAGGTTTTAATTAAGTTTTTCAATGCTGCGATTAGTGGTTTTAATGATGATTTAATCAAAATTTCATCAATATTAGGTCAATTCAATGTCATTAATACCTATTAAAGTATTTGACATGTTTATCGCAGTGAAAGATAACTAATTGGAGATTAATTAACTATGTTAATGCTGTGATTAGTGTATTTAATTACGATGATATCAAAATTTGAACCATATTGAGTCAATTAAATATCTTTAATATTTGTTAGACCGTTTAACATGCTTATAGTAATGAAAGAACAATAATTAGGGGATAATTAACCATGTTAATAGTGTGATTAATGTTTTTAATGATGATCTCATCATAATTTGACCTATATTTGATCAAATTTATGTATTCAATGCTTCTTAGGGTGTTTGACATATTCATAGTGGAAAAATAGAACTAATTGGGGTTTAATTAATTTTTTTATTACTATACTTAGTGTATTTAATGACATTAAGTCAATTCTACATATTTAATGTTGAATACATTAATTGATATGTTTATAGTGACAAGATAGGGTTCATACATATAATCGTATATTTTTATTTTAAATTAGGACTACTTGTAGCTTACTTATTTTTTCAATTTTGATAAGAATATGACATCAGAGGAACAGACACATGATGACGCTTGGGATCATTCCCAAAAGATAGATGGAAACTGTCATTATTGGCTATGCATTTATTATGACTACATTGGCAAGAGTAAAGGAATTAGCTGGGTGAAGATGCATTTAGCAGATGAGTATTGATATTACAAAATGCAAAAAGGTTTCAACGAAGATCCGTAAATCATCTCAAGACAAGTTACAACAAACAGGAAGATAAAATGAAAAAAAAGGCAAGAGCTAAGGAAGAATATTATAGGACTACATATGAATCAGTTTATGACGAATATGAGGGTCACAACGATGATATCGACTCGGATCTTAAAGAGCTGGTATTTGTGCATCACTAAAGCATCAGTACATCTATAAGAAGAAATGAGACATCGACGACCTGACTCACAATGGAAGCGTGGTAATGATAGTGGGTCTGCGCCATTAGAAATCCAAAGGACGACCAGCATGAGGCAACCGACTTCCCCTCAGTTAAGCTAGATTGGTAGCATAAGATAAGGTGGAATCCATGGTTTTATGAAAGGATATGGCAAGATGTCAGTACCAGATATTACTGATATTGATCTACAAGTCTATCCTCCATAAATAGCGAAGCAAACACGGATTGACGATGCATATACAAAAGAAAAGAAACAGGATATTAGGAAGGTACTTGTAAAATGATTCAACTTCTACGAGATTCCAACAAACACAACTTAAGGTCTATATTTTCAGAGCATGATCTCCTCTATTCAAAATTCTGGCAGAAGAATCCAACCTCCAACACCGAAGGAGATCCACAATGTGTATTTAGATGAGGATGTGGTAGAACTAAAGAATTGGCTCAAATCATCAATTTTCTTGTGTATTGCAACATACAGGTGGTTTTTTATAAGTCAGTTAATGCTTCCAACAAGATTCAAAATGTAAACTATATTGAAAACCTAACAGACACTATTATAGAGGAGATCGAACCACAGTACATTGTCCAAATATTAACCGACAATGAAGCTAATTTCAAGAAAGTCGATTTACGATTGAAGAAAAAAAATTATTGTTTTTGACTCCTTGTGCAGCTCATTGCATGGATCTAATGATGAAGGATATTAGCAAGCTACCATCAAGTCACGGACTTAGTTGGTTTTGCCTAAGTCGTGTGGCACCCTTGCGTGTCCGACCGCAAAGAGCCAGCCTCCTCGAAACCTCTTATGGTCTCTTAAGAACCTCCAAAAGAGAAGACGGGCTAGAGAAAGCGTTTGATTCGGGATCCACAAGCAACCCTTTCAACAAATACTTGATAGACAATACAAATTAGAAACATGACTTTGCAAGCTCTAAATAATCGAAGGTGGTCCGTCGTGGCCCGAAATCCCCACAAGTGCCCACATGACACCACTACAGAACAAGACAGCAAACCAGCCCTAGACAATACCCTAAAGGCCCATCTAGCCATATTAGTTCCTAGGTGCTATACTGCATACACTCGGTACCACTCTACGGAGCTAGAAAACCCCCAAAATGACTATTTGAATGGTCTGTTTCTGGGCAGTTTTGCCTCTACGCGACAACTACACAACATGCATTTACAAAGCCTGAAACGGTCACAAAAGTCAATCAAAATAGGGTTGTCAAACCTATTGCAAGCCCTCTACATGTTGTACAAAGCATGAACAAAACCAAAAGACACGTACATGGGCATTACATCAAACACCTCGTTTACAACTTTGACCCAACTTATTCCTTCGATGTCCTCATCGAAGCCTTTGTGGATGCTATATCTCCTCGCCTTTATTGAATCTTCAATCTTCTGCTCCAACTATAACATGCCTCTTGCCTCCTAGTTGCTCTCCGTCGTTGTTGTTTAGTAGTTAAACTTTGATCCATCACGCTGCTTCAACTCACCAATGACTCTGACTCTAGTGTAGAGTCGGCTGAGTTGTGCAAATCCTTCAGATGAAAGAATAGACCTTCCTTGTTATGCACTAGTCTCTTAAACGAATCATCCCACTTGAACTGGGTAGATGTCTGTTGGAGCTTTAACGAACATCACCTTGCAGACTTTGAAGGTTTTGGGGTCTTTCCTTCATAAAATTTGTCAATCGATTCCTCTTCTACTTAATTGTCACCTCCAAGTTGGTTCGCATCACTGCGAACCTACTTGGAGGTGACAATTAAGTAGAAGAGGATAATCTACTCTCAGTAACACCGATCATCATTAGTGAGGATTTGACAACTATTGTCTTCCATAAAGTTTTCTTCGAAGGGTCTTTGAACCTGTGCAGAGCTCCTCTGCTGGATAAATAAGAGAACTAAGGTACTCAGTTTCACCATTCTCTTAAAAGTGGAGAAGGCAAACATTACTCAAGGGTTGTACTCCATGCATCGAGCTGGCTATTAGCCTTCATCTGCCCTTTACTCATACTTCCAAAGCACTTAAAAGTGTTTGCACTCCTTGCGTTGCGTTAGCTATTGCGATTCACTTTTTCATCATTATCGAATTCTAGAATGCATGAAATTTTGCCCAAAAAGAGCAAAATTTTGCCCCGACTTGGGCCAAGTCTCCAATAGTTTTGATCGCCTCTGGAATTATATCGTCTTCTCCATTATTTCTGTTGCCTACTCCTTTCAGTAGAAAAGGTATAGCACCACGTACTACCTACTTCGTTCCTCAGTCGAGCACTCCTGCATCGACCCGAAGTCCTCCACTTTCGGCTATTTTGATGAGAAGCCTGTTGACACTAGTCCTCCACTTTCAGTGTAATTTAATTTATAATTTTTTTAATATTTAAAAAATTCTTACTAACAAAATTATTTGTCTTGCAACGTATTATCTAAATCCAATCATTCAATCTTGCTATAGTCTTGGAATACAATCAGATTTATTATCGACACTAAGAAATGTTATATATCAACACTTGTCAAACACTATTAATGCAACCAATGGTATTATAGAGGGTCAATTATTCTGGAAAACAATTAGTCTATTCTCGGAAGTTGTAGTTGTATCGTGTCATTACAATATGGATCCTGATGAGGAAAAGTTACACACATATTGATTATAAACTATATTTGACATTAATTATTTGTTATGCTAACAAAGTCTTATTTATATCTTTTTGCAATCGAGTGGTGACTCCAATTTGGAGGGGACACATCAAATATAAGAGAGGTTGTCGTCCGTGTACTTTCGTAGATAACAACAGATAATGGTTGCAAACATAATTGGTCAACATCTGTATTAATTCATATGAAGGTCCGCAACAAACTATCATATAGATGGTTGGAGAAACTAGTATATATCCACTATAACATGCGAGTAAGGTTGCGATATGTCGAGTTGGATAAGGAACCTATGGAAACAAAGATTGATCCCATCAACTTCCAATGCTACAATGAAGATTCAGAGCTGATGTTAGAGTGGGTCAAAGCAATGGAGAACCAAGAGGATCCTCTATTTGATGAGATGAGAGATCCTCCACGTCCCTCACGTTTTATCATCGAGGCAATAGAAGAAGTGGAATCACATCTTGAGTAGGAGGAAGATCCCCCTCAATGAAAATGTGACGAAGGAGCCAGAGAACATTGAGTCAGACTGCTCTAGGAACTAGAGACACCTAACTGTAATAGTCATCCGCCCAGCGTGCAAAGGTAAAAGCAAAGGGGAAGGCAGTAGCACCAACAGCACAATTGGAAAGAATCGAGTCAAGTGATGAGATACCTTCTCAATTGTATTCAACAGCCCACTCAGTCTAGAGACATAGCAACAACGTGAACAGTAATGCCTCGATCGATGATGGCAGCAATACCGGGAGTCAATAGTCCCATCTATACAATTTAAGGGTGGTGCACGGACCGAGGAGCAGTATTTTACATATACCACCCTCGACGAGGTACTGGTCAAGTTTATACACGGAGAGGGAAGAAGAAGACAATGGATGATTTTAAGTAGATGTGACAAAACCTACGCAACATAAACACAAAGCAAAGCTCATCATATCAACAGTTGTTGTATTATGAAGAATCTTATGGCCAACAGTAGTACAGTGATAGTTGGTCATACTTCTCTAAGCAATAGTACAATGATTAATCTTATGATATGGAGCAACAGATCAGTGGCGAAAGTAAAAGTTCTGACATTCTCTATGCTCTGTACTAATACATGTCATAATCGTCTTTGCCTCAAAAGCCGCCTCGGACACGTGGTTCACGACGTTCAAACTACGGCCATCACTATATTGATGCACCAATAGCATACTGTGTATCAGTATACTATGTCGTAGGATCAATTTCAAGATTAGGTCCAACAAGCATATCAAATTTATATACGAATACATAGGATCGAGGACCCCGATCCACTGCCCGTGGAGTCTCATCGTTCTTTTTTATGGTAAAACTAGGTATATCCATCGATTAATTACTTGATTCATATGAATCTTAAAGTCTAAGTTGTTTAAAAAATAATCTAACAATTTAAATCATTTATTTGTAGATAATTCAGTATTAATAGAAGGACTGTTCGGAATGTACCACAAAGCTACTACTTAAAGCTCAAAAAAGATATCACTATTCTTTTATACTTTAGATTATTTTTGCTAAAATTATACTAAATATATTTATTTCCAACTTAAAAACTCTAATCTAACTTTTTTTTATTTTTCAGGTATTTTTAGAGTTATTTTTTATAATTTTGTTCCCGTACCATCAGTATGCCTAAGCGTACCAATATACGATACATTGGTAATGCCTCAATTCATATCGTACCAATGGCTAGTCAGTATACCGATTCGGACCGATAAAGCAAACCTTGAGTTCAATTAGAAACCTGGGAATCATATTTTTTTTATTTAAGTTTTCTTTAGGCCTTCTACTAACTCTCCTAGCACTACTAATATAAATTAACATCAAATAACTGGTCCTGTAATGTCTCCCTTGGATCCTCTTAAATGGTTTTCAATATTTTCATATTCAATTCTTCAATCAGAACTACCACTAACAACAGATGTAAACATTTCCTATTCTATCTTTTTAAGTGCCACCACACATCCATCATAACTTCCTCATCTTTGTAATAATCATTTTTGGATATTACCGCTCAGTATTCTACGCCTTGTAATTATCTTATAATTTCTTTTATCAAAACGGTATGCATTGATAACCAACACTTGGAACAATCCTCTCTTCACTTCAACCTTCCAAACTTAAGTTTATGAGAATTATTTGCTTGATGTTACCTTCCCCTCGAACAATTATTTAACACATCAGACATCTGTTTTGGGGGATTTCTTGACCATTATTTCATATATACATTCAACAAGTTCTCTTATCATTGCTAAAATTTTAAAGCACACTTCAAACATGCAGTATTATTAATATGAAAATCATTTGTTGGTTAGTTTTTTTTCCATTGCTCAATTTTAAGGATTATCCTGACTTAATTAATACTTATAAAAAAAAATGTCATCAGCAAGTAGCATTAAATAGTTTAAGTTCATACTGAATGAACCTAGTAAAAGCTCATGATTACCAACCCTTTTCCTCAGCTTGTTTACCATTATTAAATAGTTTTTCTTGCCTAATTTTTCTATCACCGCTTTAAGTTTTACTAAAACTAGCTCAAATTAAAGGACCCTTGTTTCCCTATTTCTTGTCTTTTCTTTTCTCAACCAAATTTTCATATCACTATGATATTGTCTATTTATTTCATACTCATATCTTGTGCTTGGTTTAGAGGATATGAATATCAGAATTGGAGACAAACTTAACAACTAAATCTCGATGTTTGATTGAGAACAACTGGATCTCATTTTCCATTATAGAAGAAGAAAATACATATCTCACTTTTGAAGTAGCCTAGAATCTGACAAAAAGAACACTGAACACAGAGCCTAAAGAAACAATTATCTGATAACAACAATACCACTATAATTAATTCTTGAATCTTTGAACCAAATATGCTAATTTAACTATTTGCTTATAATTCATCAGATAAAATTCTAATTGTAAACCACAGTAGCAATTTTGCTTTAAGAAACAAAAAGGACAAGATTTAAATTAGTATTTAGGTTGAATCAATTACCTATCATAAAATCAATGTTATTGTCTACATTCAATTAAATTAAAAAAATAAAAAAGATAAAGACAAAAGCCATAATAACCATCATTTAACTAGAAACCACTATAGCCAAGGAATTTTCATACTTCCTTGCAGCGTTAAAAAGTTGCCACTAATTCAAGGTTGATGCAAAAAATAATAGTTTGATAATTTTTACAAATTTCTATGCAATGTACCAATGGTTTCCAAGGCACAAATATGGAAATTAGTCTAAAATAGGAAGAGATAAGGTGTAATATTAGTCACTGAGAAAAGAGGTGTGTTGGAAGCTTTAATCATGTTATCCCAAAACGAGTTCTTGCATGGTAGAAATCTACAATAAATATAATCAATCTCCATGTCATCTACCAAGAAACAAACAAGGAATTAGCTAAAAAGAGAAAGAAGATCAGTAATGTGCTTGATTGAAAATCATGCCTAAGAAAGAAAATTAATCCCAGTTTAGAAGCAAAATTAATTACATTTTCTTGCAAGCAAGTTTTGAACTACATGTTCAGAAGAAATTAAAGTTAATTTGGATAATTCAACTATAATTTTGAGTCCAGATAGCAGAAAACCTTCTGGAATTTCATGGTAACATCCCTTAAGCAATTGCATCCAGCAACTCGCAACCCAACGGATGCTCCCAATACCCTGCTCAAAAACCAGGCCAGCAATCTAGCAGCAAATCTGAAAGAGAAAAAGTGCAGTGAAAGTAAGATTCTCCGTTTAGATAATGTACAAGCAACAACAATCATGGTTTAAGCAACACAATAACAATGATTTTTAAATATGACAGCATGCACCATGAAGAATCATGCAAGAGTTAGATGATATACCCAAATTTGTTTGGAATGAGTCTAAAATGCATGGTGGTTCAAGAAAAATAGATAGCTTCAAGGGTTTTTTAGTTTACATCCAAATAAAATAAGACAGATGGTCATGTGTCATGAGTCAGATACATAATCAGATGATTTAAACAGAGTCTGACTCCAAATATCGACGGTGTCAATTAGTAGGAACCATTATTTACTAATCTAAACAAGTAATACTATCAGAATATATAGCTCGACATTGGAATAATACCATTCATTTTTTACTTTTATTATTTTATTCAATGGTGCCCTGTAATGTCCTGTGTACTGATAGCGTATTAGTTAGATAGGTTACTCAAACCAAAATCAAACTGAGATTTAAATTCTTGAGTGAGAAAATTAATGCTGGGAGATATAGAAGATGTAAAATACATGAGTTTGGTCTCCTTAATACAAGTGCAATAGTACATATATGAGAGTAAGTTTTTCAAGACTTATTTGTGTAAGCTGATGCAATCTAATTTAGCCTACACGTGGAAAAATGCCCACAAAGAGTTATTTGCTTTGCTTGTTGATGCAGGATCATTTTTAGTATATTTCTCAATTGAATAAATTCTGTTGATGGATAGTTGTCAAATAACAAAATCTTCTAAAATCCTATATTAGTTACCAATATTGACCAAGGAAAGAAAAAAAAAGCCTAATACAAAAATCTTAAGTTTGATTAAAGATTCTTAAAGTAAAAGACAAGTCTTGTTTTGATCAAAAGTTTTGATCCCTACCAAGGAAATTCTTGATTAAAAAATCTACAAAGAAAAAAGCCTATCAATCAAATATATTATCAACAAGGAAGATTATTTGCTAAAATAAAATAGAAAATATATCTTCCCCAAAGAAAGAAAGAAGAAATAATTGATATATTTCGATTTATAAAATATTATTTTCTTTATTTTTTGTTTTATTTTCCTCTTATTTTGTAGTTTGCTTTTCTACTTATTTTTATAGTTTTGTTTTTCTTTTTATTTTCAAAAAAGAAAGAAGAAAAATGTATCTTATTTTTAGATTTTTGTTTTCTTCTTATACTTAGAGGCCTATAAAGGGCCAACAGGATTGTAGCCAGAGCTTCGGCCAGTGAATAAAGAAATAGATTTTTCCATCATATAAACGTACAAGTAGTGTTAGGTCATTCTCTTTTCTCATTGTTATATTCAATTATCCTCTTAGAAGAAGTGTAGAAATGCAAGGCCATCATTCCTGAGAGTTACTCCTTGACTCAAAATGAATATGATAGTTATATTCTTGCATTTTATCTAAAATCTTTTCTTCTTTTGTCCTACAATTATTGAAACCTAAAATTATATATTTTACCCATTTTTGCTTTTTTTCCTATATCATATCTAGTATCACAAACACTTAACGAGTACCCATTTAGGTGCTTGTGCGAGACAAGGTCCAAGCACGTCAAGTTTACAAGCAAGGCCTAAGGGCATCAAGTCAACCCAAGCGAAGCCTGAGTGCATCAAATCAACCAAGGCAAGGCATGTACAACTAGTGTCGCCTAGGCGAGCGCTTAGGAGTAGGCATCGGGTGGCCCAAGCATATTGGGTTCAATTCTGAGTAATTTGACATGGTCCTAAGTGAGCCAAATGGTTTGGCTTAATCAATTAATTAAAGTTTAATATCTCCCATGCACATTGAGTCAAATTCCCTTGAACTGAATAAGGCAAATGGCTTGACTCGGTCAATTAATTAAGGTTTACAACCTCCCTACATAACCCATGCCCCTTCCCTCAACTCAAATACCTCCATTGTTACTCGTCGCACATAGTGCTTCCCCTAAGTGGTCCTCCCCCTCTCTCAGACGAGCCATAGTGCTTCGCACTCCTAGATGAATGACATCTACTCTCCACACTGTCACGACCTTAGCTGGAATTACCTAAGGCGTGAGGCACCCTTGCGGCCAAAGACGCGAACTTAGCTTGCCTTGCCTAAGTCGCGAGTTACCCTTGTGGCAAAGACGCGAACTTAGCTTGCGTTGCCTAAGTCGCGCTTCGCCCTTGCGATATTGCTCCGCAAGGATCAGCCCACTTTGTAACCTCTCGCAGTTCCCGAAGGACCTGTAAAAGAGAAAGAGAGTTAGTTCGAAAGAACGAGCAACGGACAAGTCCCGAAGTCTCGCGAAAGGGGAAGCTTTACAAGCAATTCGACGAACGCCTTGTGTGCACAAGAGAAAAGAGGGAGAGGGAGAAAAACAAGGCTTTCAAGGATGAACGAACAGCTGCAAGCCCACAAACAGCCGCTCACCTGGTCTCGGGCGCGAAGACAAGTTCCCGTAAAGGTCACGTGCGAACTTGCGAAAGAGATCTCAACGCCCGGTATATAACCGAAGCCCTATCCAGCCCCGTGCCACCCGGGGGGTTCCTGGGGTCTGAGATGGTTGACGTTTTGGTGAGCGAAGGAAGTTCTCCGCTACCCTCCGCGGCACGCGAAAACGGAGCTGTTTTGGGCTGTTTTGGGGTTGTTTTGCTCGGTTCGGTGAGCGGTCGCTTTGCAACGCTGCAGCTTGTTCGAACTTACATATTTACAGGCAAAATGACCCAAAACCAAGAGAAAACGTTCTGTCAAGCAGTTGTACATGCAGGTGTGAGCGACGAACGGTTCGTTGAACGGAGTTGTTGCGGGTGCGCGACGACCATTCGTGACATTCTCCCCCACTTAAACTGTCGACGCCCTCGTCGACGCTTGTTGGTAGTTGTTGATGACTTCTTCTTCATGTCGCAGGGCGTCTTCGGGCTCCCAACTGACTTCAGTTCGGGGAAGCTTTCGCCACTTCACCAAGTACTCTGTTTGCTCAGCTCCGTTGGGTAGCTTTATCTTGCGATCCACCAGAATGGTTTCCACTCGCTTTTCGTAGGAGGCTGTGATGGGAGGTAGCCGAGTTGGAACACTTCGGGAAGCATCTTGTGGATCCGAGTGGTAGGCTTTTAGGTTGCTGGCGTGAAGGACGTTGTGAATTTTGAACCACGCCGGCAGCTACAACTTATAAGAGACGTTGCCTACCCTGCTGATAATTGGGAAGGGTCCTTCATACTTACGCACCAATCCTTTGTGGACTTTGGTCCTAAAGAATTGGAGTGATGCTGGTTGGAGCTTTACCAACACCAAATCGCCAACTTTGAACTCTTGCGGTCGCCTTCCCAAGTCTGCCCACTTCTTCATCCTTTTTGCTGCCTTCTCCAAGTAAGCCCGCGCAATATCGGCATTTCGATGCCACTCCTTTACGAAATGATAGGCTGATGGACTACTCCCAGTATACCCAATTGCCATGGTGTGCGGAGTCGACGGTTGTTGTCCTGTGATAATCTCGAAGGGGCTCTTGTTGGATGCAGAGCTCCGCTGCAAGTTGTAGGAGAATTGGGCAATGTCCAACAGCTTCACGCAATCTCGTTGATTGGCACTCACGTAGTGCCGAAGATATTGCTCCAAGAGCGAATTTATTCTTTCAGTCTGGCCATCCGTCTGGGGGTGGAGGCTTGTAGAGAAGTATAACTTTGACCCCAACAATTTGAACAGCTCGATCCAAAATCGTCCCAGGAACAGAGCGTCTCGATCGCTAATGATATTGTGCGGGACTCCCCAATACTTCACTACATTCTTCATCATCAGCTTGGCCGCCTCCTCTGCTGAACAGTGTAGGGGAGCAACAATGAAAGTTGCATACTTTGAAAACCGATCGACCACCACGAGTATCGATCCGAGTCCCCCTACAGGTGGCAAGCTTGATATGAAGTCCAAGGAAATGCTCTCCCACGGCCTTTCTGGTACGGGCAACGGCTCCAAAAGTCCCACCGGCTTCCGCTGCTCCACCTTGTCTTGTTGGCAAGTAAGGCATGTTCGAACATATTCTTCCACATCAATCCCCATTTTCGGCCAGTAGAAGACCCTCTCCACGAGAGCCAATGTTCTGTGAATGCCTGGGTGTCTAGCCCAAAGAGAATCGTGACACTCTTTTAAGAGCTCACGCCTTAAATTGTCTACTCGGGGAACATAAACCCTATTCCCTTTTATGTAAACAAGTCCCTCCTGGACCCAAAATCATCGTGCCTTGCCTTCTTTGATGAGCTGCATCAGGATAACTGCCTGGGGATCACTATACAGCCCATCCCTGATTCGGGAAAGAAAGTTGGAGTGCAAATGACTTGCTTGGCCTCTGCCCTCCAGTTGTACAGCATTCACACTTCCCACCTTCCGACTTAGTGCATCGGCCACGACGTTCGCCTTCCCGGGCTTGTACTCCATTGCCATATCGAATTCAGCCAGGAAGTCCTGCCATCGCGCTTGCTTTGGGGAGAGCTTCTTCTGAGTTTGGAAATAGCTCAGGGCGATGTTGTCTGTCCTCAGCACAAATCGCGACCCGAGGAGGTAGTGTCGCCAAACTCGTAGACAGTGGATCACTGCTGTCATCTCCTTCTCATGCACTGGGTACCGCCGCTCGGTCTCGTTGAGTTTGCGGCTCTCGTAGGCCACCGGATGACCCTCCTGCATGAGTACTCCCCCAATAGCGAAGTCCGAAGCATCTGTATGGACTTCAAAGGGCTCTCCATAATTCGGCAATTTGAGCATCGGTTCTTCCAGAACAACAGCCTTCAGATCTTGGAATGCTATCTCACGAAACCAAGGAAGGATCTTAACTCTAGCACCTTCTTTGGAGTTCGCCATTCCGCAACTGCTTGCACCTTCGACTTATCCATCCGAATGGAGCCATCACCGATTCGATGCCCCAAGAATAAGATCTCAGTTTGAGCAAAGTAGCATTTCTCCCTTTTCACGAACAAAGTGTTCTCCCTGAGAACCTTGAAAATCATCCGAAGGTGC